TTCTGTCCCTCCCAGGCTTGGCCAGGCTGCTGGTGGAGCGGGATTTGCGAATGGCTGGGAGGAAGTCATCGAAGTCAACATTGGTTCTCCTCTCGTAGTTGAGGGTTGGTATTCGCCAGCTGAAGGGGTCGCTGCCCTTCCCCTCGCCCAGCCCGTCGCTGGATGCTGAGCTCAGGAGCCCCCCAGAGCCCCTTCCCACCTCCGCATCTTCCAGTGATGGCTCCAAGCAGCTTCTCCAGGAGCTCGGCCGCAGCGTGCCCAGCACCTCCATCCCCACAGCCGGAGAGCTGGGCCGGTGGCCGGAGCCGTCGAGGGTTTGCAGGAGGGAGTCATAGGAGCCGAACTTTGATGCTCTTTTCAGCGCCGGAGAGCGTGACGGCTCCGCTGGTTCTGAGGCCATGCTCCGCAGGCTGGAGGAGCGCACGAGGCTGGCGCCTGCTCCTTCGCCTTCCCCTGGGTCATTCCCATCTAGCTTCCCTACGGACGACTCCGCCACTGGGAAAACCCTGGAGCGTCGCAGGGCTGCAGCACCAGTGGTGCGGTAAATGGGGAGGGGAGAGGTGTCGCCCAGCGCCGCGCGCCCTTGCTCCCGCTCCGCTCCCCGCTGCCGCCGCAGCTCCTCCACATACTCAGACAGGGCAACCGATGAGCTGGGCACAGGCGCTGTCGCTGGAGAGAGCCGTCTCCTCCTTGGCACCGTCGGAGACAACGGGCTGGGGAACCTCCCGTCCGTGGCAGGTGAGCCCCCCCGCCGCAGCACCGATGGGGACGTGTCTCCTATCCTATCCACAGGTTTTTTCAGGCTCTCCAGCTCCTCTTCGTCTGCCAGAGGTTTTACATACTCCCGTCTTCTGGCACCGAGCAAGGGACTCACCACCCTGCCCAGATCCGCAGCTTCGATGGACCTGGCAGTGCTCAGGGAAGAAGCCGGCCAGCTCGTTGCCGGTTCCTTGGTGTCTCTGCTCACCCTAAACAACAGATACTGGCGTTAGTCTAAGCAGCGTGACTTCCAGTGACTGTAACATCATTCTGCAAGGACAAGGCTGAGCAGGGAAAAGCCAGTATTGGCACAGTAGTCTCAGAATAAACCCCCATTGCCGCATTGAGCATTTGGGCAATGCCCAAAGATTTTATCTTTAATAACTCTAAGTCAGCCAACCCAGTTAAATCCATGGCATAGGGGGTGTGGCATGACCACCTTTAGCTCTGCCAAACCAACACATACCTCCAGCCGTCCTTTTTCTTGACAGGCTATAGCAATACGCAGGATTTATTTTGTTTTCGTCAAAACCAAAGATTATTCACTAAAACTTTATGAAACCGGCTCGCGGCACATCCCGAATGCATCTTATTGCAGGGCACGTTTTGCCAGGGTCCTGCTGGGGAGGGAACTGCAGGAGCCAAATGCCGCCTGGTCAGGGTCAGGGTCACATCACTCACTGAAGAGCAGAAGTGATGTGTGGGGTGGGACTTCGCCCTGCAAACGGGGGTTGATGGGGAGGGCAGGGACCATGTGGGCGCCCCTGCTGCTCACCAGTCACCGCCCCACAGGACAGCATGCCCAGAACACGCAGCCCTCACCCGGCTCACAGCGGGCCTGTGGCTGGGACCAGCACAGCTCTGGGAGACGATGTGTGGGACCAGCCTTGCCTGCCAGCTGGTATTGTTGTTTTACCTCCTGCTCCTCATCACAGGGCTGCAAGAGCTGCCCTGGGACCGCTGCAGTGACTCTGTTCCCACCCTTGCCCCAGCTGCTCCCTGAGCAGGCAGGGATGGGGTGGCAGCACAGCGGGAACAAGGGACGGTCCTGCCTTCCCCCAACTCCTGCCTGTCCCTCACCAAAGCTTTCGATGGCACTGAGCACCCCCTCTGCTGGGACAGGAGCTTGGGATCATCTCCTTGGGCACCACAGGATGCCGATGCAGAGTCGGTTTAGCTGCCGAAGTCTGTCCCGAGCAGCCAGCTCCTGGCCCATGCAGGCTGCAGAAAGGGCTTTTCTGCACCAAGCCATCCCCCTTCCTTGTGCAGCTGATGCACAGAAACGGGGAGGGGGCTGCACTCACCGGCAGACTCGGTGGTACTCCTGATACAAAGACCCCAGTGTGTCACTTCACTTGCCCCTCAAGCACCTGCATTGGCTTTGATGGGACGCACATTTTTTTGAAAGGCCAAGGGCCTTTTTGCCAGGACACGGCTGAAACAAAGCTGATACTCTGCAGAGCTGTGCCGTGTCTCTCCTCGGGACAAGGCTTTAGATCAACAACAGACAGTTACTCTCCAGCTGCTCGTGCGCGGACACTTGTCGGTAAGACAGGGTGCAAAGGCATCTGCGAGGGATGCGTTTGGACAAAGGCTGCCCCCAGTGCTGGCAGCTGCCGGCACCGCTGTCGGAATATTCCCACTTGTGGGTACCCCTGGCATCGCTCAGACAAGAGGGACCTGGAATTGGCCTTAATGAGAAGGCTGTGGGGTGTGAATTTCTCTGATAAAGAAAGGAGGAGGGAAAAAGAGAGCAAAGGGTAGAGTAAAGCAGCAGAACCTAAATATAAATACATCGAGGTGCAGGAGCAGTGGCAGGGTTTACATTGCAGGGCATCCTGCCCTGGTGTTACCATGGGAATGGGGTGAGAGCGGATAATCCCAGACACCACACTGGACCCACGCAGACCAGGCTCTGCTGACCCGTGAAATAATTTACATGCCGAGACGGGGTGAAGACAAACGCTGTGGCTGGGAAACGCAAGCGATTGCAGAAGCGATGGGGTAATGGAGTGGCTTCAGGTCCGCAGCACACGCCGGCACAGCCCAGGACACAGGGTTGCCTGCCTGGCCGTGGTGCTCGCCACCATGCTGTGTGCCTGCAGCTCATTAAAAGGCCCAAACCACTTCATTATTCAATGCAAAATTAATTAACCAGGGATTTAATCTTCCAGGAATGCGGCAACCTCCAGGGCTACCCCGTGCTGCTGCACCCAACGTTGCTAAAGCCTCACAGCTGATTAATAGTTTGAGATATTTTCATAATGCTGGGGTTTAGGATCCTAAATTGCATCTTACCTAAATAGCTGGTGTAATCCTTCCGTGAGAATTTGTATGGAAATTGTTCCAATCACACTCTACATTTCCAAATAGTATTTTAAACTGACTGCTGCACAACCAGCTTTCATAAATTAAACAGCCAGCTCCGATATTTTTCTTTGGTTTTTAAGACCGAGATAAAAGTGAGCTGGAGACGTAAGAAACACTCACGGACTGTGAGCACAGGCGGTTTACACGCTGCTATTTATTGTCCTGTTCAGTGTAATGGGCAGTTACTGTATTTATGAAAATCTTTAAAGCCTGAAATAGAGTGAAAGCTGCAAATACAGGATTTCTCCTCTGGCTCCCATGGCTAGTATGAGTCCAACTGCCAAGGACCCACAGCCCCTGGGGTCCAAGCAGGGACCTCTGTGTAATGGAGCATCTCCTGCCTATGTTCTCCCTGCTTGTCAGCAGAAGAGCTGAAGCCTAAGACCCCCCCATCCATCCTTGTCTCTCCCAACAGTTCCTATTAGGTGCATTTGTTAAGCACACCCAACCGCACATGCCCGGGAAAGGGCTGGTTTCCCCAGGGAAGCCGCATCTCCCCGGACACGGCTCATCAGCCGTGGTCAGTGCATGCCGGTGACGATACCGGTGCTGATTCCGGGGCCGGTAGGTCAGTGGCATGTTAACTCCAAGCAGCATCAGCTGCCTGGTGAGCGTGTGCGGGGCCTAATTGGGTTCTAAATGAAATTGCGAACTCCCCTCGGGGTTTACACTCGCAGCAAAAAGGCACCACGCGGTGGGGAAACACTGCTGGGATTTCTTTGCTTTTGATGCTTTTCCTCTTGCTTTCCAGCATCTAAAATGCTCAGGTCCTTCCAGAAAAATCCACTATTGCTTCCCTTCCTAGGAAGCCAAAACCTGCTTTGCTCACCTCCAGAGACCCTCCCTGCAGCGGGTCCAAGCTGCTGCCCACCCTGGCACCAGCCAGCACGGCGGCGTGCGCGAGGGCAGCAACGTCACGGATGCCCTGAAATCCCACCTCCATTTCCACTAATTACCTTGTGCAAAAGGAGCCTGAGGACCACAAGGAAGTTTCTCCCATGCAGCAGGTTTCTGATGGAACAAGCCCTCAGGCTGGTGCCAGTGCTGCCGGGGAGGCTGGGCTGCTGTTCCCCACCGCTGGTCAAGCCATGCCACCGTGGCTGGATCCAACGCCACTGTACCAGCACCCCATCCCCATCTTTTGTTCCTTTAACCCTACCCTGGTGGCTACCAAAAAAGCCCACCCCAAAATCAGGGCCATACTCGAGCCTCCTCACAAGGGCACAAGCACAAAACCAGTCCTGTCCCATCTTGCAGCATCCTCTGCTCATCCACAAATCCCAGACTAAGGGTTGGCGTGGCGTCAGTCACTCCCAGGGCTCGGAATAAACCCTGTGAGCCCCAGGCAGCCACGGTGGGGGGGGATGCTGCAGGATCATGAACAAAACCTCGCTCCATGCCTCAGCCTCACAGACAACATTCCCCGGCCCAATGCAGAATTTGGAAGGCATCTGCAAGCCAAACGGAGTTCTGCAATATGCCATTCACACCAAAGCAAATGACATACAACAATAATTAGTGAAGATTACATAGCAATTAACATGATTACAATTATGCTAGTTGAAATAATTTATACAATAAAATCCACACATGCCTTGCGACACACGACCAGGGATGGAAGTGTGGTTCGGATGCTCTCCCTGGTAGCTCATAAATAAAGCCAAGACAACTCCATATCAGGGGGAGAGAAGAGACTGGCCTCATTTCTGCCAGAAGAGGATTTTCTTGTCACGCCATCATCTCCCAGTTTCCCATAGAATCATTTGCTTTTGACACACTGATGTTTAAAAATAAACGTGTCGGATCCCCAACAGCCCTGGGACCCAGGCTCCTGCTTTCACGTACCAAAACAGAAGGGGAAAGGATGCCGGGGGCTGCCGGGGCTACGGATGCCGCGGTGCCATGGGATGCAGAACCAAGAGGCAGAGCCCGGTGCTGCAGGTCCATTCCCAGCAGCACCTCGGGGTGAGCCCCTCCGTTGCAATACAACCCCGACCTGCCTGGTGAGAGTCAGGATAAATACAAAAAGTTTCAATTTGGCTTCCTAAGGAAAAAATCTGATAGTTGATTCCAACTCTGCAATGTGTCGTATTCATGGAGGTTTAGCCTTGCTGGCCAGCATTTTGTAGAAGCACTTAAATAGGAGGGAATTAAAGAAAACATTAATCAAATCTCTCATTCCTGTACACTACACTGACGGTAAGAGCCTTCTATGCTTTCCTCTGGCTTTTGGCAGCTGTTTGTTCAGGAAATATCCCATATGTAGAGCTGAGAAGCGAATGCTAGGAAGATTCATTTTTCATTACTGGGTGCTTGTGTAAGACAAAGGAATCTTAATAAGGAAGAGCTCGTTTCGCTGATCTCATTTTTATTACCTTACCGGTCTCATCATCTGTTTGTTTGCATTTCATACAGCCTCCTCTCCAGTATTTCCATCTTAGATTAGCCGAAGCCAAACACAGCAAGGACACCGGGATTTGCAATTTGCCTTTTCACGACCCCCAGGATGGAGGCAGATTGTCACACTGTTCCCAGATCTAGGTACAAATTGCCTCTCACAGTGTCCATGGTCAGCCCAGTAAGTTATTTTTATTAATCCCCAAGCCTACATACCTGCCCTTTTATTATAAATCCAGTGTATTTTAGCTCAGAAATATGATATTAGCCACAACTCCTAATTTGCTGCCATTTATTTATGATCAGAGCTGGGTTATTTGGACCAAAGACCTATAAGCAGAACAGAGGAATCCCTTTTCTGTTGGGTGCTGGGGTGAGGCGCAGGGTCGCAGTGAGTTTGGCTGGCTGCTCTCAGGGCTCCCACTCATCACCTCCAGGTCCCAGCCCTGCCCAACCACCCTCAGATTCCGCCTTACATCAGCAAAAGTCTGCTTCAAACTGCTCCAGCATGCAGTGTCCCCTGCCAGGGGACTTGCTCTTCAGAAAATTAATTCTGGCAGTAGTGATTTTACTGTACAAAGCAGGTGAATGCAGTAGGGACACTGCCAAAATCAGAGCATTAATGCTCATGTCTGCAATGAAAGGCCAGTCTGCAAACCTTACCGAACCCTATCCGCTCGGAGCATCTACCTATGGACCCGCACAAGGACAGGGAGCAGGCGGGTGCCATGGCGAGCTGTGCCAAGCGCCAGCCTGGCCCCCACCCTGGTTCCAGGGAAAAAGATGGGAAATATCGATGCATATCCCAGTACACCGTTCCTGGGAAAGCACTGCAGCAGGGGCTGCCAGAAGGGGAACCATCAGCCCTGCCCAATGTGAATTTGGCTGGTCAGTCTTTCCACCCATGTGCACTGCTGGCTGCCACCCCGTCCCACGGCAGTCGATGCCACAGGTCATGCTTTATGTGAAAAAGCATGCTTTTGTTCGTTACAAAGCTACTGCTTTGCAGATCTTTGCATCCCCTGGGTGGGGATGGTGCTCTCTGGAGCCGCTTTGGGCCCACGCTGCTCCGGCCCCAGGACTCAAAGCTCCATCTCTGCTCACCAAAGGCTCTCCCAAGCCCCTGAGGAGGCATGTCACCCTTCCCGGTCCCCACCACCTCCCTTCTGAGCAGCAGCCACCAGACCCTGACTCACAGGGCTTGCCAAAACTCAACCCATGCAAATGCTTCACACACAAAACACAAAGATTTGTCTGCAACCCTGCGGTGCCAGGGACGGCTGTAAAATCATGGGTTTGTCTGTGGGCTGGAGTGTCCCTCCAAAGGGCACCCAGGCAGGGTGGTCTCGATTTGGGCTGGGCACTCGCTGAGCCCCAGGCAGCCCGGCCACTGAGCACCCAAGGCAGCTCCGCAGGATCTGAGCTGAGGCAGTTTGGCCACGCGAGTGCTTGGGCCACTCTCCAACTCCCTCACAGCCCATTAGCATTACCATCAAAAATTAACATATTTTTATATTAGAACTGTATAAATGCATACTGTTTCCTCAGCAGCAAAAGGCGAGCATATGGCATACAAATCCCCAAATAGGCTGCATCGCCTCTTTAAATTATCTCTAGAGAATACATCAAGGGATATTATACTGCTTGAAGCATGTTTTTGATGTAGCGACTTTCATCTAGCATTTCACTGATCCTGGCGTGGCAGCGGCTACCTTCCTTGATCTGATGTTTTGGCCTTAGATACCACGGGTCCTCCAAACCTTCCTTCTGCGTGTCCTGAGAGGGGCACAGCCGAAGCGCCTGCCATCCCCAGAGCAACATCTGCAGCACCCCACGATGAGCAGAGGGGGCTTCCCTGTCCCCAAGCAGCTGTAGGCATTAGAGCAGTGCCACCGTGGTGCACCTCATCATGGGATCCATCACCCAGAAAGGGTGACTTTACTTTTTCCATGGGAAAAGAAAAGCTAAGGAGATCACATACATGGCACAGGGGGAGCAGCTGTGAATCTGTCCCCACGGAGGTTGCCATGCCCGGGATGGGCTGGGGGTCCCTTACCTGGAGCCCTGGGTGCCACGGCTGCCAACGGACTGCGCTGAGAGGCTCCCAGCCACGCTGGTACCCGCAGGGGAAGACCAGCCCGTGGATGACCCCGGCCAGGACTTGATGCTCTCTGCAGGCTCCAGACCGAGCGTGGAGCTGACGCTGGAGCAGGCATCCCTGCGGGGAGAGGAGAGACCCCGTTAGCTCCGCAAGCACAGCAGGAGGGCTGGCGGCACTGAGGAGTCCTGGAGCATGTGTGAGCGTGAAGTGGAGCACAGACCAGGGGATCCTTCACACCTCCCGCCAGTGGGTTCTGCTCTGGCCATTTTGCAGCACTGATCAGGTAAAACCAACCTTTCCAGGCAACCTGGTCCTTGTGCCATTGCCATTAACTATTTCCCTCACACCGTTGTAAGTGCCCCGTAGCCCATAGACAATGGGCAGGAAAACCTCACTTCTGCCTGCAGTGCCCCAGGACTGGAGCTGCAGTGGCAGAGCCAGTGTGACCCCAGACACCCCACTGTGCCCTATGCACCCCTGGGCTCCCCCTGCCCCCCCACTGGGAGCCCACACTCCAGCTGCAGCAGATTAAATCCTTTAGGATCTCAGTTTTCCTTCAAAGCCACAAATCAGCTTCATATTCTCAAGGTGCATCCCTCCCAGTTTAACAGATGGACTTCCAGGGAAAGCGAGCAGGTCCACAGGCATGGGGGGCACACAAAGCCCATCCATGCCCAATGGAACAGTGGTCCATAACCCATCGCACAACCCGACATAGGCTCCAGCCCTTTGGCTGGCAGCTCCCCAGGGCTCACTCACGTCTCCCTCCTGGAGCAGAGCGACTCCCGCGTCGTCTGCAGGCTGCAACCAGGGGACAAAAGAGAGAGTCAGCTGCGGTGCTGCCGATGGCATGCATGGCCTCCCTGAACCCACCGCATGAGTCCGATGGGGTGAAAAACTTCCCAGACTAACTGCAGCAAAGCTTGCTGCTGTGCCTGTAGTACAACTGGGGCAGGCTTTTGCCTGACTCAGGCAACGTTCCCCTCCAGCAGCCCAAGCAGAGCTGCAGCGGTAGCCAGGGCAGCAGCAGGGCCGTTCCCAGCATGGCTAAAGACCTCCTCCCCTGCTTCCTGCACCTTTCAGACCCTGGGCTGCTGTGCTGGTTTGAGTTGGGACAGAGAAAATTTTCTTCACAGTAGCTAGTGTGAGGCTATGGTTTGGATTTGTGCTGAGAATAATATTGATAACTAATGTTTTGAGTTGTTGCCAAGCAATGTTTACATTAAACTAAGGGCTTTCTCAGTTTCTGATACTGGCCTTGTGTCCCCAGCTTCTCCTCTACAAGAAGGTGGTGAGCAGTTGTATCATTTTGTTTTCCTTCTTTTCCCTCCCCTTTTTAAAAAATTACATATTATTATCATTATTATTAATAGGTGGTATTATTTTCATTACTTAGTAGTAGTATTAATATTTTTTTTTATTTCACTTACTTTCAATTATTAAGCTGTTCTTATCTCAACCCACAAGTTCTCTTATCTCTTTCCTCCAATTCTCCCCGCATCCCACTGCCGGAGGAGAAGAGCCAGCAGCTGCACGGTACTTGGTTGCTCACTGGGGCTGAACCACAACAGCTCCAAAAGGGCCCCCGGCGCAGGCACCCCCGGAGCGGACGCCGGTGCAGTGCATGTTGCATTTGTCCCCGTGGGACACCTCTGGGTGCCCACGCTGGTGAAGGGCAGGGAGCAACACACACCATTTCTCCTGCACACAGCAGCTGCGGACATCCCTGCCAGGAAGCATTTCTCACCTCCCGCTTATGTGTCAAGTGTATTGGAAATCACTTTTGTTTTATGGAGGAGTGAATTTCTGAGCTCACGGTTTCTGTCTCACCTTTCCCTGGTTTAATCACTACATAAAGAAAATCTCTTCTCATGGCGCAGTGACAAGTACATCTCTGCCTTTTTTTTTTTTTTTTAATGCATTTATCTGCTTTGTCTCCAATTGTCACGATGCCCCTTTAGCGATGTAGCAGAGGGGAAAATTGGAAGGCTGTAGAAATGACACCTGAAAAATTCACTGAAATCTTTTCCTAGTAAAATCTTCCATCCAACCACCCAGTTTCCCTGGCTTCTCCAGCCCCCCAGCCCCTGTGGCTGAGCAAAGTGCAGGATTTGCCATCCATAAATCCAGCGCTGGGGCATCTGCTGACATGCAGCAGCACGCCACGCTGCCAGGGACTGGAGCTTGCTCTGCAAATGGGGTGACTTCCACCCTTTTGCTTACTTTAAGCTGGATCACACAGTAGGATTTTAGGGGTGACACTTTTTCATGAAACCTTTTGTTAACATGAAGCTTCTTGTTCATAAACATGTGTGGCTACAGCTAAACCGTT